ATCGGGGGAGGATTTAGGATTCGAATCTGGGGTTTTAGACCCTGGGGTTGGGTTTGGGGTAGAATCTGAAGCTAAATTAGGCTTCGGGGTTGCGGGTTTCAATAGGTTCCAGGCTTTAGACAGTACGGGCACAGCTCGAATTCTGAAGCCACAGATCCTTCAGAGCCCGATGCCCCAAACCCTAAACCCGCAAGGTGCCTCCCCTTCCCCTGGACCGAAGCTTAGGGATCATAGTAATGTAGGAACCTGATTAAGAAACCTTGGGCCTATTACTGATATGAATCCTACTATTCTGGGGTTATAGGCCCAGGGTTTCTTAATCAGGTTCCTACAGTAACCAAAGTTTCAAAAACATTCCCTAAACCCTATAAACCCTAAACCCTAAACCCTAAACCCTACCCTCCTGAGTTAGGGGCCTCCAGAGCCGCACGGTGCACCTCATCGCCGATAGGTTGCTCTAGCGCTCAGGGCTTGGAGATAAGGTTCACCGCTCTTGGGGGGTATAGGGCTTCAGAAAGGGCGGAGGCCTTGGGGATAAGGTTCACAGCTTTTTGGGGTGGTATACATAGGGCTTCAGAAACCGCTTAGGGTCCACTCAGGCATCCAGGGATGTCAAGCCGTGGTACAAGGGCTTTACAAGGGATCTGATAGGGCCTTACAAGGGTTCTTTACTGTTTTGAAGGTCAGGGACTTGTCATCTCAGGAGTGACGCGGCCAAACGCCCTCATAGCATACCTCGCACCCAAAGCGAATCTGTCCAGCCTGAAACCCTACAAGGCCGCGAGACCGTGTTAGGCAGATGGTGGACATGTCACGCAGGGGTCTACGTTACAGGACTGAGTGGGATCCTATACTACTGTGATCTGAAAAGCCGCAAAGCTATTCCTGGATCTCCCCCAAAACCTGAGACCAAACTCCGGAGCCTGCAAACCCTATACAAACCCTGCCCTAAATTAAATCCCTCTATACCCTCAACCCCTAAGCCCAAACCCCAAATTTTCCCTCAGCGCCCCTAGGTTCGCACACATCAAAGCCCTAAACCCCTTAATCCCCAAACCCTCAACCAAACCCTGGCTTCGAACTCCAAGACTCCAAAACTTCAGAAACCCTCAACCCCCCAAAAAACAAATCCCAAGAAACGCTACCTCCCGCAAAAGACCCAGAATGGGGGCCTCCGGCTGGGTGTAGCGCTCCAGTTCGCCGAAGAGCCTTTAGGGATTTAATGATTTACCTCCTATAGTCTCCATTGTAGTTCCTGTTCTGGGTTAAACCAAAAGTACTAATTATTAGGATCCTATATTATAAAGTAACCCCAAAAAGGAACTGCAATGGAGACTATAGGTAGGGTTTTCTGGACACGACTAACACCCCCCTCCCACCACCCCATACCGTAGCCACTCCCCTTCCGCAAACCACTCGCAAAGAAGCATCGGTGGGATCCCAGGCCCCCGAAAACCTGAATTAAACTCTTAAGCCCTTTTTTTTGAGCAGGTATTGCAAGACTCTTAAACCCTAAACTCTTAAACCCGAACCCTCTAATCCTAAACCCTAAACTCCAGGAAGCCCTACAAAGGCCCGGGACCTCTCCGAGAAAAGCCGGAAGCAGCGCCCCGGCCCCGTGCGACCAGCCCTCCCCTTCCTGCGCTTGTCAGTTGCTGTGTCTTAGGGTTTAAGGGTTTAGGGCCTAGGGTTTAGGGTTCAATATTCTGGTGCTTTTGGGTTTAGGGTTTGTTTGTGTGTGTGTGTGTGTTTATATATATATATATATATATATATACATATGATTACATATGTATATACACACATATAATTAGATAGGGTTTGGGGTTACGGGGGAGCGAGGGGGTTGGGATTGAGGGTTTATCGCTTGGGGGCTCGGGGGTTCTGAAGTTCTTATCTTCTTGCAGAGACAATGGCCGTGCACACTTGTGCACGTAACAGCACACTTCCCGATTTTCCGGATGGTGTTTTGGAGAAGGGGCCTGAAGAAATTAAACCTGGATCTAAAAAGGATCAGTCAGCACACAAAGCAAGCGATATAAAATGTAGGGCCTTAAAGCTCAGAATAAGGTCTCGCGAACACTGCACCAAAAGTAATAGTCAGGAGCCCTGATACTTATTTCCCATTACACCATGGTTTTAATAGTCGACCCGAACAAGGTCCAAGGAATGGCAGGCATCCCTGCCAAACCACTCGGACTGTGTAAACTGTACAGTATCTCGTGGGTTGGTCCTAAGGCAGCCCTGAGACCTCACCTGACTCCAGAACCCTAGCAACCTATGAGATAAATGTAACCTTATAGACAGAGAGAGAGAGAGAGAGAGAGAGAGAGAGAGAGAGACAGAGACAGAGACAGAGACAAAGATAGAGACGGAGGTAGAGAGAGGGAGGCTTTGTTAGTGAATGTTTGGGTTTAGGGTAGGCCCTTCTTCTTCGCCAGCCCGAAACCAAAACCCCACTCTGTGTTGTTTGGAGGATTTTAAGCTACGGAGGCACCTGGGCTGGGAGGGAAAACTTATCTCCAAAGACAAAACGAAAAACAACTCAAACCAGACACACAATTACAAAGCTTGTATCACTAAACCTTGAACGCCCTAATTTCTAGAGTCATTTGTGAATCCCAACCCCTAAATTCTAAATCCTAAACGCACGAATCTTCAAGTCCTAAACCCCACAAACCAAACTCCGAAAACCACTCTTCAGGGAGCCCTCCCGTTCGCTCCTCTGGTCGGCGGCCGCCTCTGGAAGCTGTTTCTTATAGTGAACCGCGCAGAAATTTTGGAACATGGATTTAGGATGATTAGTGCTAGGATTCCCTCTACTTTGCCTTAAGGGCATGAGGATAATGGTGTTCCAACTTTCTGGCTTCTGCTGTAAGGCTTTTCATGCTTTAAGGTTCCGGTTTCAGAGTTTCGGGTCTAGTAAGGATTTCGGGTTTGGGGCGTAGAGCAGAGGTTTTACAGGTTCTACAGGAGCAGGGGACTTCCATAAGTGGAAGAATTAGTATATGGGTGGTTGTCAATATTAGAGTCACTTTTTGGGTCCTAATTATATTACGGCACCTAATATTTAGGGTACCGAAAAAGGGGCCAACATTTAGTTAGACATAGATAGACTAGGGTTTGGGGGTAGGTGCAGTACAACCATACTGAGGAACCCCAAGCAACATCTTATAGAGACCCTGATAGAGCGCTTAGGGCTATCCGCTGTCCCCTCACAGACACCCTCAAAGAACCTAAACCCTGAAACCCTCTCACCCGTTCTTTGTTTCGAAAACAGGGGACCCGAATATAGTACCCTAAACAGTAGGATCCTTATTATAAGGACCCCCCAAATAAGGTCTCCCCCTAATTTCCTGAAACCCTGGACTATGAGGATGACTACAGCCCTAAGCTCCTAGACCCAACAGCTACCCTACAGCTCTAAACCACCTAAACTAGGACCTAAACCCTAAACCCCCTAATACCCCCTAGAACTCTTGAACACTAAAGCCCCTAAACTCCTAAACCGCCTAAACCCCTAAACCTAACACCTAAACTGCCAAACCCTAAAGCCCCGAGACTCCTAAACCCTAAACCCCCAGAACTCCTAAACCCTAAAGTTATGACGTGGGGCCTTCCTCCCCCAAGCCGTGGCGCCCAGGACCCTAAGAAACCTACCTTCTTAGGGTTTATACGGGTTTAGGGTAATTTGATTTCCTGCTACAAGTCCCTAAAAGGATTTTTTGGCACTCACACTCGGACATGCCTGGCGAGGTCTGCAGGGTTTAAGAAACCTACCGATTTAGGGCTGCTGAATATGTTGTTTTTTTTCCGAAAAGTCCCTATCAAGGGTTTAAGGTTTAAGAAGCCTACCTTAGGGTTCCTGAATATGATTTCCCCTGTACAAGTCCTCAAAAAGGGTTTAGTGTTCAAGATACGCACCTTCTTAGGGCTCCTTGACATGAACTCCCTATACAAGTCCTGAGAAAGGGTTTAAGGTTTCAGAAACCAACCTTCGTAGGGATCCTTATGTAGTATCAGTTTCTTATATATGTCCTTCAACAGGGTTTCGGGTTTAGGGTATATGATTTACTTAGACAAGACGATAAAAATGAAGGTTTATTTGGGGGTTTCCGACAGTAAGGGACCCTAGTACAGTATCCTAAATAGTAGGATCCCAAATTAGGGTACCCCTATTCTTCGGAAACTCCCATTTGGGGTTAAAGGGAGCACAGGAGTCTCGGATGCCTGGGACTCCCATCGCTCGGAGAGATGCCTCACGGAGGATGCGGCGTCGACATCCAGTCCTGGCGAACTTGTTCATTGCGGTGGGGCGCCGGGGGTGGTGAGGGAGTTGAAGGCTTAGGGTGTCTGGGTATGATTCTAGAGATTCTAGGGTTTGATAATGTTTGATAGTTTCGTAGATACATGTAGCTACTATAGTCTGGAAGCACTAGCACGCACTCAAGCTAGACGAGGTCCCTCAAGCAGAACTGGGTAGTTGTCAAGATTGTGGCTCCTTTTGGGGTACCCTAAACATGAGGTGCGGTATTATATTAAAGACCCAAAAAGGGACCATGACGTTGACAACCACCCAACTGTGAGCAGGCGACTCTTCTGCTGCGCCAGCCTGCGCTACAGCTTCTGGCACAGAAGGCTCCTTGGCCCGTCTTGGCCGCACCTCTATGTTAGATGCCGGATGCCGAAAACGGCCATGCAAGCCGGCGATTCATCCCCGATCCCGGGTCTATACATGGGCAGGAATGTTAAGTTGCATAACAGGTATCATGCCGCCGTCCCGGTCTGTACACCGCAGATTATACGAGACGGCAACAGGTGTCCCCACCGAAGTTTGCAAGATAAGACAGCATCTGCGATGCTAAGGCAAGAAAGCTGTGCATGAACCCCAGAGGGGTCGTGATGTTTTCCAGAGACGTACTTACGTCTCCAGGAAGTGGACAGCGAAATAGCTTTAAATTTGATCCACTCAAAAGATCTCCCGGTCATGGACGGTTACGTCAATGCGCGAGCAAGAGGTCATCCCTGGTGTGCAATGTGGAATCAGTCTTCGCCCGGCGCTGCTGTCTTTCTTCCACCTGGTGGACCTCATGGTCATCATGGTCATCGTCGGGCCGAGCCTGGACCTCCACAAACGTGTGCCTCACGACAACTTTGTGCTGAGATGACCTTCGCTGGGCCCGCTCAATTCGTCGGTTCAAGGCCTCACAGCTCAAGCGAGGAATGAACCGTGGTTTCGAGTTTTCATGGACATTGGGTGCTGTTGTTCCACCATTGGCATGGCGATATGCAGTCTTCTGCAAGGAGAACGCTTGCAAAAAGCGGGGCCGGATCTCCATCCATTCCTCACTCCGCACGAGGCATTGATATGGAACCACCAGGCGTCCATCCAGTCTGTCGTAAACCACAACAGGGATGTTCAAGCTGCGAAGGAAACGTTGGAGGTATGTGGCGAAACGGAATTTGTCGTCACCGTCCAAGATCGGGTCGAAGCGAGTCCACACAGGGAGGCCAAGCGCCTCACCTGCCAGGATGGTCACTGTGTCTGTCGAATCCTCCCGGCTGGGCAGGAATGGAAAGCCACGCTGCCAGGACTGAATCGTCAGGGTTACATATGCTTGCTGATCGAGGCTGCGTAGCTCTTCAACCCCTGGGCGATTGAGCCACCACTGGCACGTCCTCCTGCAAGACTCCACCATCAGCCCGAAGTAGTGCGTGGCCCAGCGTGCGAACTTGTCCGCCGACACCGTGAAGATACCGCAAACGTGGAATCTTCCGTCTGCTTGCGGGCGGCAGTGCAGCAAACCGTCCGGTGGCTCGCCGGTGTAGTGGAAGAGCCCGGTGGCACAGTCTCCTTTCTTGGGGTAGTCGCGAGAGATCTTTTGCAATGCTGTACATACCCCATCACCACTGGTGAAAGAGAATTCCATGAAAGGTCTGGCAAGCCTTCCGAACAAGACGGTGAGAAGCCGAAGCAATCCGAAGCAGGAGAAGCGCTTCAAGACAGCCTCTCCAGGTGCCAAAATCTCGAGCAGCTCGATCCGACCGAACCGCTCTCCACAACGGGCCTGGTAGCGTTCTCGCGTCTCTGGCCGGATGAAGACGTCGCTCGGGTCTTCCGGAGGATTGTTCAGAACAACATCTTCCATCGAGCATTTGATGATGTGACCACCCCAAGGGCATTCGCGATGGGACAGGGAACTTCGCCCCTTGTCTATAGCAACCTCCCAGCCCTGGTGGGAGAGTAGGTTTGGCACGAGCTCGAACCATTCCTCGTTGCACTCTGGTGGAACAGCCATGGCTCCCAGGACCTACGACCCCTGACGCTCTATACCCATGTAATCCTGTATAGGCTCGAGCCGGAACCAGGTGCAGGGGCCTAGGAGTTAAAAAACATGGTCTTTTGGGTTACCCATAGGCCCTAAAGCAGTTCCTTTTCGGGATTACCTTCTAGGCTTCTATATGAACCCCAAAAAGGAACTACTTTGGGGCCTCAGGGTAGCTTCGTCTCAGTGCCTCGTCTCTGACATACCCTTACCGGGTCCTCGCATCTTGCCACTGTCGATGACAAACCGGATGCCGTCGATCGTCACGGAAGTCTCGGCGATGTTCGTAGCAATGACCACCTGCAGAGTATGGCGTCATGTACCAATGTACCACCAAAACTTTTAAAACCAAAACCCCATTCTGTGCCAGAGACTTCTGACGTGAGGCTCAATCCCAGGACTCCCAGGATTGCAGACTGAAGGGATGGGGGCGTGGGGCCTAAATCTCAAATCAAATAACTCAAAACCCCCATGTGCTTTCTGCAGGTTAAAACACACCGCAATGTGTAAAACTAACAGGCTCCACAACCCATCTTCTGCACTCCTGACTCATCCCTAAACCCTAAACCTTACATTAAAATGCGAAAACCTGAACTCCCTTTTCAACTCCACCTCCGATGATGAACACCTCTTCGATTGAAACACTGTACCAGAAACCGTAGAAACAGCTGGGGGTTCAGGTCGATTTTAGTCGTTTCGACACTCAGTCTCGCACAAGGCAGACAAGGCTCCACGTCGTTTAGGTTATTGAGGGCTTTTAGGTCTACAGACCCTACTTGCCATCCGAAGACCCTACCTACAACAACTCTCACTACCGCCTTAACCAAAATCAATTCAACGGCAAGCAAAACCCACCCAAAGGCCTGAATCCATAAACCCTCAAACCCCCAAAACCCGCTTAACACACCCCCACACTCTATTCCTAAACTCTTATTATAGCTCCGGGCAACGTCGCCTTCCGCACTCCTTGCGGCGCGATGCCGAACACTTTGTCCTTCGGCACGCACAGCTGTCCAAAAGGGGAGGGTTCTGGCAGGGGAAAAACGGTTCTATAAGGGCTTTACGAGGAGTTGATAGGTGCGAAATCAGGGGCCGAGGAGTTATTTTGGAGTTTAGAGTTTAGGGGTTCGTGTTGCGGGGTTCGGGGCTTCAGGTTATAGTAGAGTCGGCAGTTTCAGAAAGATTTGGGGTTGACGGCATCTGCCGCTAGAGGGATTATTGAACCAGTGGAGGCCTCCAAAAGTGAACGGCGTAAGATCTAAACCTTCCCGAAAATCTAAGCCGGCGAAGGCCAGTCCTCTCCATGCGGCCTTCACCTTAGCCTTCAGCCTCTGGCTTCTAGTCTGCTCTCTATGAACAGCACCGCCGTTCGAAGCCAGCCGGGAGAAGATAAACCCGGCAGAATGACAGCAGGCCTCTGATTGAAAAACCCACCACACGAACAAAAGGTGACAAACCGTAGGTAAAGGAAACGCAAGTGCCAAGCAAGCATTAACGGCCCAAGATTTAATAGCTGGCCATAGTAGACCTATTCATATGTATACACAAACACACTCACAAATAACTTGTTTTATATGTGTGCGCACATAGATACATATACACATGCACAAACACACATACAAATTGAAATACAAAAGGGCATGCATGCATACCAGCATGCATGAACACATATGTGCGCGTCTTCACACACATACGTATGTATGCCTATATATATATATATATATAAATATATATATATATAGATAGATACATAATCATTTCTTTAGATGTGTAAGCACGCGTATATACATACATATATATATATATATATATATATATATATATACATGTGTATGTACATCTTTATGTACATATGTGCACGTATAGAGCCGCAAATCATGACCATGAGCATCGCAATAGCGTGGCAGTGGGGTCCTGTGACTCCACCGGCATTTGGGAGTGCAGCGGCAGGGGGAGCCACCTCTGACGCGCATTAGCACCCTCAAGTGTAGGACTTAGGGTGTAAAGCATGAAGGCATGCAGGGCTGATGGTATGGAGTTTAGAGCTTACGGCCTGAACTCTAAACCCTAAACCCTTGGTGGCTTCCGAAACTATTCAGGGTTTCGGTAGACTGAGAAGTTGAAATTTCGATCGTCCCTCGCATGCCCAAAGCCTTTATATCTTGGCAGCTTTCTGTTGTCCGTTGGCGGCTTGGGGGATGGAGTGCTGGGCTTCGTTATTTGGTGTGTTGTGTGGTGCCACATCCCAAGTCAAAAGGCACAATACTTGAGTCCCCGATCCCTGCGGCCTCCGCGTGCGAGCAGCCATCTCTGAGACAGCTCCCACGAGAGCCTCGATCCTGAGTGCAAAAAGCGGATTTTTGGGGATGCCTTGCCATATGGATATCGTATAGAACCCAGAACTAGAACTAATTCTGCAAGCCCCTATGTCATTAGTGACTCGGGATGCACGCTAGGTGGGGGCTGTGGCTTTCTGTCTCTCTGTGTTTGCCTTTCTGTGTGTATGTTTGTCACCGCGCGCGTAGCTGAGCGGGTGTTTGGTTGCGGACACAGAAGTCATAACAATGTACACACATGTCGCTGCCGCGGTATAGGTAATTGTACACACAGATGCAGCAAGCATGCAAGACATTATGCTTCTCTATATGCAGCTATATGATCTGTATATCGTACCATTGTTGTGCAGCGGCTGACTGTTCGGGCCAACTCGTATCTCGCCAAACTCTTCACAAGTTCGGCTTAAGGCCCGGAACATCAAGCGTCTGCAATCAAGGGTGCTCAACATTTTTGTGTTTGCCTCATGCACCGCTGAGTGAAGTAGGTTTATAGGGTTGAGGTTTGGAGGCTCTACCAATGTTCATTTGTGGTTCGAATGGGTTTGGGCCTGGTATAGAACACTTAAACTGCCCGCCCTCGAAACCATGAGCTTTCAGTCTTTGGCTTCCAAGATGCTCGTAAGCACCCGGCACGAAGATCAGAACGTCCCCCCGCCTCGTGCGAGGGGCTTTGAGATTCTAGACACATGAAAAGCCTTGTTGGTACCACTGCGGACAAAGAACACCCTAAAAACTGTTCAAGGTTCCCTTACCCTATAGCAGGTCGTGGTACAAGAGTCCAGGACAAAGAAATTTGGTCCCAAGGCCCTCAAGCTCCAAGTATACAAACTGCACTCACTTTGGGATCTAAGTTTTCGTAAATGATTCGGAGCTCCAGGGTCTCAGCAGAACTCGAAGACTACTGCAACGCAGCATCCCTGGGGCGCGGGCTCGTCCTCGCGCAGTGAGGCCTCAATGCGCCGAAGTACCTAGGAGAAGCGGACGCAAAAGGCTGGACCACGGTTTAAGGTTTGGGAGACGCGAAACCCTGGAACACCCAAACTCTACAAATCTCTAAAGCCCCTAAGCCCATGCAGCACCAATCGCTTTCAGGGCGCTTCAAGAAACGGCTCGCAATCGAACTGGGTCCTCCCCTTCTTGCCTTGGATGACGTGTGTTGTGGTTCGTCCAGGTTGGGATTTGGAAGCTTAGAGGAGCTTTTCATTGAGGATTGTGCTATTGTGGGGTCTAGGTTAGGGCCCATGTAGTTTGAGACTGCGCTATGGGGCCTTTTCAAAACAGGCTGTTTGATCCCCTCGCTAAATTCTTCACCCTACACCTAAATCCCAAAGACCTTAACTTCAAATAGCCCCTTAACCCTACAAAACCTGCATCCTTGACTCTTGACGCTAATTTTTCCCTAAGCCCCACAACTCTAAAGCCCTAATTCCTTAACTCCTAAGCCTTAAGCCGGCAAGCACGTGTCCATGAAGGTCTACTGCTGGTGGACATACGTCATAAAAGTTGCTTTGCAGACTTGTTCAACACGCCTTTTTTAAGGCCGAAGAGAAGAGGGTTGACAAGCTGCTTGGTAAGGGCTCTTATAGCGGCTTTGTATGGTTTGACAAGGGTCCTGACCTGGGGAACCTGGAACTGACCTTCGGGGCAAACTAAGACGCAAGGGTCAAGCGGCCACGAGCCCACCAAGCTTTAATACATACTTTCTGATCTACAATGACTGGAATAGGGTTTTAGATTCATTTCTGTTATCTGTCAGAAGACTTATCCAGACTTGTTTACATACGTATATATATATATATATGTATACATATGTGTTGAAACATTTAGGAACATGCTTAGGCAAGGATTGCCTTTGACGTGTAGATGAGTTAGTCAGCCTGGAACCCCTAAACTCTTCGAAGCCGTGTGACCCGATGTCCTGGCCGGAGAAGCTCGTAACCCCAATTGGCATCAGGACTGTGCGATCGCCTGAACCTAAACCCTAAACCCCAACCCCTCAAAACATAAAGCAAAGCGTCAAGCCTTTCGTGCTAGTAAGTGTTTTTGTGGTAGCGCCCCTGACACAAAACCCAAAAGTTCGAACCCTATCCTATATAGGGGTACTGCAGTCGTAAGGAGGAGGTGCTACTTCGCTGCACCACATCTGTTCGGATGGTGAGTGGCTCGTCCTGGTCTGCATCCGACAACCCAGGGGCTCTGAGACTCTTGCGGGTGTCGGGGAAGACCCAATACTGTCTGACTTCATTCATGCCACTCGCCACTCAGCAACTAACTACGAGCATGACTCGATCCGTAGTCAAAGGGTGCTGGGCTCAAAGGGTCCGAGAAGGAGGAACGAGGCGCTGGGGTTTTCGGTGCACGCAGTGTCTTTCCCAAGATCTGCAACTCCAGGCTGTAGCACTATCGACGTGCGGGCGCTAATGTTTGAACCAGGGCTTGGACATGTTATAGCATACGCTAGGAATAGTAGTTAGTAGTATGGGCAATGATTCCGGCTTCTACATCCGGCAACTGTCCGTCCGAAATTGGAGAGGTGGAGCTTCGCAAAGTCAAAGAGGTTCTCCGGGTATAGAACGCAGCTCACACAAAACCAACAGCTTCAGGTTCCGACGGTGAGCCCCAAGAACATCTCAGACACGAATTCACGCCGTCCTTCTGCGGCATATGCTCGACTTCCACGCGGTACATGCGGCCTTTCGGGGACAGAAGTGTCCAAGAAGGGTCTGGGGGGTTAAGAGTGTAATGAAAGCTTGTATTCAAAATTTTAAGGAACTCCAAAATCGAATTGGTATTGTGAAGTCTTCAGACCCCTACATATGGACCAGAGTTTCAAGGTTTGGGGGGTGCCTTGCAGGCTAGGTTCCGTTGTATGGGGCGTTCAGGAACACAGGGAACCCGAAAGCATCTTTTTGAATAAGGTGTTCGATCTTGAAATTATGGAGGGTTTACGCTAGAGCCTAAATGATAAGGTTTGGATTTCCCAGGAAGGGCCTTGGGCTTAGCTGGTGAGCAGATTCATATGACCAGTGAACTCTGGCAAACTCAGGAACATCACTTGAAATGTTTTCAATTTCAATCACCCTGGGGCTCCAGTTGCCTAAACAGTAGGGTCACTAACCATATCGTATCGAACTCAGTAATACACTACACAGCTAACTGGAGCCTAGCACCCAGAGGACCTTGAACCCGCAAACCAGTCCGGAGCCCAAGACCCGTCGAGTAGACCGTAATAGCTCAAGCCTCCACCATAAGCCCCGCTGAAACCTCAAGCCCGCACCCAAAGACCTAAGCCCTGCTACCGAGGACGCAAAGCCCCCGGATGCTTTTGCAGTTCTGCTACACACCAGCACACACCCCTTCTGCAGTCCCAACATCGGACGTCGCAGCCTTTCGGCTTTCCTGAGCCCCCTAAAGCCCTAAACCCCTACCACTCACCCCTTAACCTACGTAATCCGAAATACCCTAGGAACTTTCAAGCTTCAAACACGAACTCTTCAAGATTGCAACACCAATCGAGAGGAAGCTCGCGGCCTGGGATTTCAACAACTGCCTCCTGCGGAAGGTCGAAATATCGGATGAACAAGTCCTCTTGGGCGCGCTTTAGGGCTTGTCTTTAGGGTTTAGGGTGTAGGGATCCTAAACCCTAAACCGAAGAGTCTTGGGCGCGCTTCAGGGCTTGCAGGGTCTAGAGTCTAGGGATTTGGGTTTCAGGGTTTCAGGCTCGGCTCGTGTTTTTTGGCCTCCAGACTTGGACAAAGACCCTAAACCCTCATCCCCAAGACCCTGGCAGCCCTCCAGTTTAGAGCTCTGGGGGTTTAGGGCTTCGGCTTTCCGGGCGGATGTTTGTGATAATGAGCCCCTTCGACAATAGACAAGGGATAACACAATAGAGCCCCGAATAGTTGGTTAGAGGATACTACATAAAATCACTGGATGCTAAGCACTAACTACTAAGTAGGTTTGTCCCTTTTCAACCCCTACCAAACCAAAACGCAAGAAGAGGTTAGATCCCGAACCTTGGGCCGTCAAGGTTGTCGATGTCTCTTTCGTCTCATTTTAGAAGCGATGTATACCGGTTGTATGCAAAGCCATATTATGCACAGTCATCTTCATCCTCACCGTCCTTTTTCTTATAACTTACTCACTGAACTTGCCTTATCCGCTAACTTGACGATAAACTCTTTGAATGTGTCAATATTCGGGATGTTGCTTAAAAGGGTCAAGGGTTGGGAATTTGGGGGTTCAGGGGTTTAGTATGGGATTACGGATTTAGGGCTTCTATCGGGAGCGACAACATGCAAAGAGGTTTAGGGCTTCGTAAAGCTGATAGGGCCCCAGGGCTCGAGTTTTGCGAGAATCTCGCACTATGGAACTTCGAAACATCCACGAGGATGCGGACTTGTGATGTTTGCCGTCCTTCTGCAGCGTCGCCGACCTTTGGCCACTGGGAGGTGCTGCTGTCAAAAGCTAACTAGTGGCTTCTTGTTTCAGGTAGTTTGCGTTACCACTATCGGAATAATTACCTGCAGTATCGACTCGGACTCATGATGTAAAGTCTCCGCAGCATGGCATATCTCAGCATCAGCGCAGGTGTAAGTACTGTGCATCTTTCAGTGGGTGTTGGACCTTTCTGTTCTTCTCAGAACCTTCAGCGAAGGTAGGAAGCAGTCGTGCCTACCAAGGAGTTTCCGAGAATCTGCAGCAACTTAACCTCAAAGCCCAAAATCAGGATATCTGGTGAACCCAAAACAGAGGGTCATTACTCCATTGTAGTGGGTGCATAGCCCTGAAAACAAAGCTCCTAACATAGGATCTGCAGGTACCAGTGGAGGTTCCATGGGGTTTTGTAAGTACGTTCCTTGTTTATGTTTAGGGTCCACGTTTCGGAACGGCTGGTTGAACCCTTCAAGCCGCGACTCCCCATACACCACACTGACGGAACCCCAGTCTCAGAGCCCGGCATCAGCACCAACTTCAAGTCCGAGCGGCGATGCCGGGCGACCTCGCTTTGTTTGTTCGGCGGGTGTGGTCGTCACTCTGAGGAAGTGCTGGGGTTTTCAGTCGGCTTTTCGCCTCCCTAGCTAGGACCGCGTTGCAGGGTTCTGTCTGGGTGTCTGATTTAGGGTTTATGGCGGGCTTTATCGGAACCCCTAAATCATCCCTTTAAACTATACATTCCGAAGCCCTAAGCCTCCGAAGATTGGGCTTTTCTGGTTTTGGCGCGCAGGGCTGTTGCCTTACGAATTCCTGAGAGCTTGCCCGTAGACTTGAAGACCCTCTGCCGCCAAAAGAAGCTCAATAAAAAAGGGTAAGGAATAGTGGTAAACATGAACCTGCAGGAATATTTAGATGCCAAAGCGCAGTGGTATTCTTTGAGTCACCATAAGAAGCACTACCAGAGCTAGGGAGTGCATTCCAAAGAGATTGACAAGTAGTACAAGCAGAAGCATGACCCTAGTAAGTTAGTCCGCGAAGCGGCCCTCATCAGTTGTACGTAGCAACAGCAACAAGAATTAACAAGAAGTGACAAATGGCTCTTTGGACACCCTGAAACCCTGAACCCAGCCACTGGCACTGTCAGTTTTTACCGAACTTAGTAGAGCATCCCATCTGAAGGAAATAGGTAAATATTTCAACGAATCCTTATTAGGCCTTATAAAACACTTCTGGGCGGAAGACTTCGTTGAGAATGCCCAGCACAAAGTCCACGACAAGGTGCCTCTCGTGTACCTCCCAAAGTGGCTACCGCCCTTTGGGTTTACTTGGTACACTTCTCGATGGGGCCATGCTACACTTCTCTGTATCGTTCCAACTTTATCGGCTGATCCCCGAAGCGCCGGCTCTTGGAGATTTAAAAATCTCTGACCCTTGCCACCGTTATGAGACCCGGGTCTGTAAGGAGCTCCTATAAATCCCAAGACCATATTCTGAGTATCAACGCCCAAGACCGCAACTATTCAACATTGCCGTACGGCCACAGAATGGCGACGCAGCCATATTGTGACTACACTCTGTTGACATTCAGGCCTGAACCAAAATCCCTTGCTCCTGACATGAACCCTATAGCCCTAAACCCGAAAACCCTCACGCAGAGCCTCGTCGACGATGATCACATCAAACTCCTGCAGGCGTCGCGAATCTAGAATTTACCTGGGCCTTCTATTGTAGTACCTTTGTTCGCAAAACTATATTCTTCATGGTTGGGATGTCGAAGCCAGGAACTTCCGGTTCATCCTGTACTCCAACCGGGGCTCAAAGGCCTGCACAAGCCTTGCAGCTCTCGAGATTCCTGACCCGAGCTTTCGGGGTTTTAAGGTTCAGGAGTTTTTCTGAGGGTCAAGGTCCACCTTGACGCTGAAATCTGGCTGAAATGCAGTTCCTGCTTTTGGTTACCCCAGTGTCTTACTGATCCTAAACCCTGACTTAACTCATGGTCTATGCATACCAAACTAAGCCCTTTACGCTCGAAGCCCTGTTCGAACCCCGCATCCCAGATTTAGGTGGCAGTCGAGGCACTGAGACCTCGGGATCAGACTCGAGCCTCCTCAGCAGGATGCCTTCCGTCACGAACCTCAAGGCATGTCAGACAGAAAACTCAACAGCCGTAAGGTTTAGGGCTTACAGCGGAGGGCCTTCAGCTCATTCTGAAGCACGGTTCTACTACCATGAAGTATGCGAAGTATCTGCATCTGCTCACATGACTGGGCAGCTGCTGGTAACCTCGAAGCCTCCACGCACAAAGCAATGAACCCTAAACCCTTAACCCCAAATCTAAACTTCCTAAACCTGAACTCCTCACTTCTTAAACCCAGCAGCAGGATTCGAGTCTTCTCGGAGAGGTTGGAATCGAAACGGATCTGATGGCCCACGACCGCCGAGGAGCTCCTTCAGGTGTCTGCTCCTCGGGCTTTCGCCCAAAGGTCTTAAAGCCTAAGCGAAACATCCCTGACAAAAAACATAAGGTACTAATTGCTTTTGATATTGTCTTGATATGAACAAAAACATTAAGATTTAATTACGATAAGGAGACTATAGTGAGGTCCCGGACCGTAAATCACCACTCGAAGCTCTACCAGCGAGTCTGCCGGAGCAGGTCCCCTCAAAACCCCGAACCCTAAACCCTAAATACCCTAAACCCTAAACCCTAAATACCCTATACCCTAAACCCTAAACCGTATAGTGCAGAGTGACGTCCTCTCCATCCTCTCCTGCGCCACGCGCCGGGCCAGGGCCACTGCGGCCAGGCGCCGCGGCTGCGTGACGAGGAGCCGGCGGAAGCCGGCCTCAGATGATGGGGATTCCTTGAGGATTTAGGGTTTAGGGTTTGGGGTTTAGGGGATTCCTTGAGGGTAAGGGTTCATGGAGGTTTACAGCCTCAGATGATGGGGATTCCTTCAGGGTTTCATGCCTTAGAGGGTTTAGGGTTCATGGAGGTTTACACTGCTTTGGGTGTTGGGATTCATGATTACGGTTTCGATAACCACGGTTTTGCAACTAAGGGTGCCTATAAAGAGCCTTGTGCGGGTCAGGGGGTCTCTGCTCTAAAGTGTCTTAAACGGGATGTACGACTCTGGCCGAGGACTTGCGGGCTTCGGCATGAAGAATTCCGAGTGCAGGAGGCTTGGTGTTGAGGAAACCCAGGGGTTCCGGGGATGAAGATTCTGCTGCCTGCTGTGTTTAGCGGCTCTTCCCCTACAGCCCAAAAAGCCTTGAACTAGTCTTGCGGCACCAAATTCTCAAACGATGAATCCACAGAGAGCCTTGCTAAAAACTAATACTCTCCATGGTAGTTCACTGTTAGGGTTGCCTTCTTTCCTTGCATCCAGGATCCGAACGTTAAAAAACTAGATACGCGAAAGGCAACGGAAATGGGAAACCCTGAAGTCTAAACCCGTTGGAGGCCTCAAAAGTTGGAATGAAGGTAGGTCGGATTAAGGACCGGATTAAGGACCCCTCAAAAAAGGACCCTTATTGTCGGAGTACCCCACCTACCTTCATCCCGCCCTTTGGGATTCGGCCTCCAGGAGGAATTGCGGCACCTGCGTGGATTTTCCACAGCCGGTGTCGCCTGCGACGAGCACCACCTGAGGGGTCCAGACTCTACAAGGCCTTATGCCTTATTAGGCTCGGAAGAGTTTGAGTAGGGGTTTGGTGGTTTAGAGTGACTCCGAAACCCAAGAGTCATGGTTGGTTTGGTGGTTTAGTATTAGAGTGACTCCGAAACCCAAAAGTCATGGTAGCTTGGCATAGTTAAGGATCAAGGACAGGGGTTGCGTGGCTCGGGTCATTGAAGTTCGCCTGCTTGGCTTCACAAAGCGGCAGGTTCTTAGCCAGGTGCTGCGAGGTCTTCAGGGCGGGGGTTCACATTAACATACTGTAGGGGCCCTAATAATTGGAAGAGGGTCTTGGGTCACATTATGTTACTTTCTGTAAAATAAGGACCCCCCAACCAATTAGTGTTCTTGATTATATACTAATTTACCCCTATAATACACTCTCAACTGGGGTCCGGCAGTTGATTGAAACCTCCCACAGAGGGAGCAGCAAGCCGACCTGGTGCGTGCGGACGGCGTCCACCACACGCTCGCGCATCGCGGCGGCAGGAAGGGAATCGACCTCCAAGAGTTGGGGCTCTTTAGGGCTTCGGGTTTAAAACCGCTTTCATTTTTTGGCTGTTTTGCTTGAATCCTATATGATGTTTACAGTTATTGCAACTACAGACATTATGCTGGCTTGGGCTTTCCTCATGTCTAGCTTTCTTGCCAGTAAGATGAGACCTCCAAGTCTGAAGACACCTTTCAGGATTCCGGGGTTGTGCTACTGTGCCTGTGCTGCAGTCAGCTTTCTGATGCACTCCATTACCAAGGGAACCCCAATGTAGCACAGCTACACAGCAAGCCTGCACTGGGGTGTGAAGAGGACCTCCTCTCTTCGGTACTCAACTTCCTCGCTCCATTTCTTAGCAGTAATTACGAGTATGAAGCCTTTTCCCGTCTGCTTGCGCTATGAGGCCGGCACCGTTCCGCGCAGCTTTCGAAGCCGGGACATTGCCAGCTTCTGGCGGAAGTCCTGCCGGGGGGTCGCTGGTCGAGAGTCAAGCGCTTAGGGGTTTGGGGTAGTATTAGGGGCCTTAATAATTAGAATAGGTTTCTGGTGTCCATTATACCATAGTTATAATAAGGAACCCCAAAATAGTATAGGGTAATTCATAAGGCGCCTGTCATCTCATGTCATCCCACAAAACTCCAGGTCCGCATAAGAATGCCGCTGGTCCTGGACTACCGGTAACAATTGCAACCGCAACTTGCCATAGCAATGCAGGGTTTAAGGTTTAGGGTTTAAGGTTTAGGGTCAGAGCCAACAAGAAGTGGAGTAATACGGATCATAAAGAAATATCTCGTTTTAGCAACTGAGGGATACTTGCGCTTCTGACATGAGTCTTGTTACCGTGCTGGTAACAGTACGAACAAGATGGTGACAATGGCAATGGCAACAGTTCATGGTAGGACGATTGGAGCTGAAGGGATTGAAACCCAAAGCGGTCTACACCGAGAAATCATCTAACAGTGTTTGCATGTGTTCACGTTGGTGTGGAGTCTTGCAGCGGGCGACTGAGAGTGTAGTCCTCATAGTGCTGCACGACGCCGGCAAACAGCAAGGCATCGAGTGCATCCACGGTGCGCCTCTGAGCACTGGGGCAATAGCACCAGCAGCAGAACCACCACCAACCATGGGAACGACAACACGGCCAGTGCAGTGTAGCAGCAGTTGTCGCTGCTGCTCCCTACTATCGCTAATCGAAGCAGCAGCACCAGCACCGGCACCACGACGACAAAATGACAACTGCATGACAACGACAAGGCAAACAATAACGATTGGAAGCAAAACACTACTCAGGGCCGGGTGAACCAAAAACTTGGTGGCAATTGGCGAGATTACCTCTCGCTTGGCCTGTAATATTGGTCAGGCATTAGGGGAGCTTGTTGCTCGGATCAAGCCCGAGATTGCGGCCTGGTTCCAGACGACTCCACCACGAAATTCTGGCGATAGCGAAGGTCGAATGCCTCTGGCTAATCTCGAGGTCGGATAACTGCAGTGATAAAATCCCCTTCATATCAGTCCCTAATATTGTATAACTTGTAACAAAAATACAATACGCGTCACACCCGTAAGTGCCGTTCTAAGTATCAAGGCCCCTAAAGTATTTGGATTTTGGGACCGTTGGGGCTTGCAAGGCGCCAGCAATTCTGGTTGTGTGGTGTTTCTGGGCTTGGAAGTCAAGGGTGAATCTGCCTGGCCTTGCGTTTAGCCGGCCTTTTCGGTTGAGAACACTTGCTTCTCACCTAGGTAGGGTGCTCCTGCGGGGACCTCTGTATCGCTCGCCTGGTATAGGCTTTCGTAGGGTCCCCAATTTTCGGAATCTCCCATATAGTCAGAGGAGGCACAACAGCAACAACACCTACAGTAACTCCGTTGTGGGAATATTGCCTGATGCTTGGTTGCCTCCAGCTTCCACCACCTGAAACCCTAAACACTAAAATGCCTAAAGAACCCAAACCCTAACTAACCAAGGAGGACTGTTTGCGTTCGAGGCATTGTAAAGTCTCGCAATGAGGAACCCTGAGGGGTAGTATTGCTACTTGTTTCGGCTTCCATATACATCCAAACGGCCGGCGGGAGTGAAGCGGCCAGGCGCGCCGCGCCACTGCTGCTGCGAGCAGGCACCTGGTGCTTTCCCTGTTTGGGCTTCCTTAAACTACCACAACCTACTTTTTGCAGGGTCCTCATAAATGTCAAATTATATAGGCTATCTATAGTTCCAATATGTTAAACCCACATCAAAATCGAATAGGTTATGGCCGTTTCGGATTAGGCCTAAGGTTTTCAAAGGACTCAAGAACACAGCACTTGATTTGAGGAAAGTACCAGTATAGTAATCAGTAGTAGTGTGGGGTTTCGCGCTATGTTAGGGCGCGAAAATTTCAGGTTCGGGATCAAGCACACAGGGATTGGATACTAATCTGGGATGCACAGGATATTGGGGGTTTCAATTTTTAGACCTTGATGTCGGGTTTGGGGCTTAAAGGGAGACTCGGAGAGGGATGTTTTTACGTTGGGGTTCAAGGGTTGGGACGAGTTGACGTTTTTGGATGTACGGCATTGCCATGGCTCCTGAGCACCAACCCCACCTGCTAAACCCGAAGGTCCAAGCTTATCGCTTAGCAGGCACCCGCTGGCAACCCAACACGGTAAAACCTAAACTCCTTAACCTGATGGATATACTCAGCCTAAATCCCTCGTTCATGAGACACTAGACCGGGAGCCTTGAAGACCTTAAAACGCCACGCCAAAAACCCAATATATACCTAAACAAGAATCCGTGAGCCCTAATTACACCCCGAACTCTGAAGCCCCGACCTCTCCACCCCATAAAGCCACAAGAGAAGATTTCCCGACAATCCCACACCCTGTCGGCAAGGATGATTCCGAAGATCTTGCTATTTCGACTTGAAAAAGGTTTTATTTGCATGCTAATAATGACTGGGTTCTTGGGCTCTGTGACTTATATTATATGGTCACCTTTGATTTCTGAAATCCTGACCCCAGACTCTGTGTGTAAAAATAACGCCCCGGTGTTGAGAACCCCCCCACCGCGTCGACCTTGGGTGGTTCCTGGGTGGCGGCGGGCGGCAGCCCGTAATCGGGAGGTTGTCGACCTCATTGGATTTTCCTACTAACGTTTTGGTGTTCAGGGCTTTGGAGGTGTCGTCGAATTCTGTTCAAGACGTCTGTATATTCAGGATCCTACTATGTAAGGTCTACATTGAGGTCCCTGAGTATCAAGGTGCCTCATTTAACTCCACCGTACCGAGTTTTCGAGTTGTTTTCTGTGTTTGTTGGGTTCGGTCCTGGGTTTTTGTTAGGCCAGAAATGTTTAGGGTTTTTGAAGTGCAATGTGTAGCTCAAGTCATTGGGGTGGTTTAGATTAAATGTTAAGACGTGGAGGACATCCTGGTTTGGTGCCTACGGACTCCCAAATGCCCAGCCTTCGCCGCAGTTCCGTTGTATCGTTGCTTGGTTATATTAATCACAGGATCTTGCGCAAAAGTGGGGGAAATGGAAAAATAAACTGTGGGGTGCGATTCAACTATGGTGTCGGGAATTTCGCTTGGGGTTTGTATTGCGGCGCTCGGACACTCTGGTTTTCGATTAGGGTCCAAAAAATCGAGGATTCCGGCCAAATAGAAGCTTCGTTTCGGTGCTGCGCGGAGCTCGCCGAGGGGCGAAGGAACGCGAGATACCTCTCAAAGAACTGCTCGAAGTCCTGTGCAAGGGCGGAAAACCACAACAGTCTCATTCCCTTTTAGAAGCTGGATGTCTCTGCTATGGGCCTTTTTCCCCTTTTACCGCTGTGCCGTGGACTCGTGGCACCCGGCTGCCACAGCCTACAAAAAATCGATCAACCAGGCAGTTGCCCCTAAACCCTAACTCTGATGGTGTAAACTCTCGGTTTCAGGATTCGTACTCGAAAGAAAGCCCTGCGTTCAAATGTGGCGTTAAGGGTTACGGGTTCAGGGGTTTTGGAGTTTAGGGTTTAGGAGGTTGAAGGGTTTGGGGTTGATGGGTTTCAGGGATCTTCAAGGGCTTCTGTTCGGACTACGAGACAATGATGCCAGTCGCGGCGGTAACGTAGGAACCTACTAATAGGGTTCCTTATATGAACCCTACTAGTACTATTTGGCGGCTTACAGGGCCAGGGTTTCTTAATCAGGTTCCTGCCTTATCCGTCGCGAGGACCAGCCCGGCTCTTCTTCAACAGAAAAACTCGACAAACCGTTGGGATCGATCTGTTTTCTCAGGGTCCGCCTTCCGTAAATGGGTGGTTCTCGAAATGAGGGTCCCTTCTTAGGAATAGTACGGCGCCCTTAGAAAAAGGATCATAAAACGGACCCTAATCTAGAAAACTACCCAAACCTAATCACTTGTCCCATTTATTAAACACCACCCTGATACTAGAAACACTTTGGGGCCAATCCTCCCGAAATCACCCCTGCCCTTCAAAACCTAACTTGCATGAGGGGGTTTGGAGCAAGGGCAAAACTAAGAGCAGGAATAAGAGCAAGAGCGAAGGCAAGAGCAAGAGCCTCCGGTAAGCGCAAAAGCAAGAGCAGGAGCAACAGCAGGAGGAAGAGCAGGAGCAACAGCAGGAGCAAGAGCAGGCGCAGGAGCGAGAGCAAGAGCCCTCAAAAGTGACAATAGAGATACAGATACCCCCTTAGCAAAAAAAGCCTTTCCCTGCCATTTTCAACCTTAGGGGAGATGAATTACAAAGGGTCACTGAGATACAGTCTGCCCTACGTGGGTAGCTGAAACACCTGATGACTACATCACGCACCCTCACCTCTGAAGACCACACCCTAATTCTCGAAGCCCCGGGCGCGATGCGGACAGGGACTGTTGTTGCTGGTGTCCAGTATACTCACAACAGGAAACCAACCAACCCTAAACTCTAAACCCTAAACCCTACAGCGCATGCGGAGTTGAAGGCTGCGTCCTCCTGATCGGATCGCGCGTGAAGGAGGCCGCCGCGCCTTGATGTCCCCCATCTGACGAGTAGTTTCTACGAGTATACCAGCTCCTCTAGTGAAGTGGTACCTATCCCCTAAGTTGGGGTTGAGAGGTGCTATGACAAACCTCGACTCGAGATGCCCTCCGTTCGGCTTTGGCGTGGGGCTGGCGGCATCTTAGGCTGGATGAGCCTTCACACTTCCTTTCGTCCCGAAGCGCTCAACCACACCCGAACTTTGAGGTCAAGACCATAACTCGAGCCTGAAACTGCGAAACTCTTCAAGCCCCTGTGCAAGCCACAGCCACGCGAAGTAGGGCGACGTGGCTGCATCCCGCCGTTCATCCCAAAGCCTTCGCATGCAGCATATAAACGTGCGATGTGCTCAGACTCCTGATGCACCAATCAGGTCTTCGTCGTGTGCTTCCCATCTTGAAGATATAGGCTTCCGACATGAAGTGAATAGTCTCTCAGACCCCTACAAATGCATTCATCCAGAGTGGATGTTGTCTTTTGGAACGGCCTGTTTTGAACCAAGGGCTTTAAAGCAAGGACTCGGTGGGCTCACCTAGTTTCCTTCTCTGTTGCTGAGGCCCGTTCCAAACCTCCGGGACGCCTGCCTACACTAGAGCCCCACACTTCCAACGCCGCGCCAAAGTGCTTCCTGAGACGATGGTAGGCCAAGTTGATCGAGCTGGCCGGGTCCTGACCGCGATGTTTGAAAATTGGCAGGGTTGGGGTGCCGGGTTTCGGCGCTGACACTCGGACAAGCCAGGCGCGGCATATGGTTCGAGGTCTGTTACTGATGGTGAGACATTCATTCTGGAGAGAGAGCTGGACGATGCTACAAGACCGATCCCATACACTGAAACCTGCGATAATCAGGCTCGTCCCTGTCACTGAGATCTTGCGCCTGCTTTCGTAGCCTAGTTGAAGACCTCACCACTGCAGGAAATCGCTCACGGTTTAAGGTTTAGGTTTTAAGGTTAGTTTCATGATATCTGAAGCTAAGTGGCAAGGGTTTGGAGTTATACGGTAAGATATCAAGCAAAAGCGTTCAAAGGTTAGGGGTGAGTATGATATCTGGGAGGATGTGTACCCATCTAGCGTGGTGTCATACAGGGGCACTCGTACGCGAGAGACAGGTGTGCAAGAAACAGCCCCAACATGACAACAGCCCTCCCTTAACGACAGACAGCCTGTACCCAAAACAAAAACACAGCCACTAGTTTCATTAATTGGTCGTAAGGGAAGGCGGGTTTGCGTTTGTGGGGCTTACTTGAGGTTTAGGCTTGAGTAGGAGCTGAAATTTGGGCATTTGACGTTCAGGGCTTAAGGCTTCGGAAAAAACACTGATTATCTTACAGGGACGGTGCCGTCAGTTGTCCCAGCTCTTGTGTTCCACTTGTTTGAGGCTTAGAGCTTAGGGCCTTGGCGCTTGGGGCAAAATCCTCCTGCTAAATCTTTGCGCCTCTGCGGACAGGTCTGCCATTGCCCCGCCATGGCCCGCGCGGGCAAAGCGCTGTACGGCAGCCACTTTACACCGCCTGAGCTCCTGATCCTAACCTTCTGGAACCTCTGTAGATCACGATATGGAACCCTTCTAACTCTCTTGCCCCCCGGACTACGAAAGCCGGAAGCTGTGGCGACTTCAGCACCTCTGACATCTTTGGGAACCTATAAGGGTTCTGTAAGGATGTGGGACTTGGGTGTTGGAGTTTGTATTCAGGTGTTTAAGGGTTGAGGTGTTGGTTGTATTATGGGGGCTCATGGGTTTAGGGACAACCTACACTGAGCTCGGGTTCAGGGGTCAAGGCTTCGGAGGTCTCAAAGGTTTGTGTTCGGAGGTATACCACCTTATCTAAGACTCTAGGAATAGTTATGTATGCCTGCTTTAACAACAATAGGAATATTGCCAGGTTAAAGGGGTATTGGGCTCTCAGACTCTCAGAGTGTCTGGGCCTTTGACCTCCGAACGGCTCCCTGGTCTGTAACGGCGCGCAGGGTAAACCAGACGGAGCGGAACGATGCCACGGAAGTTCCGACAGCAAATTTAAATTCACCTTTTAAATCTAAACCTCGAACCCTATGTAAGCCGACAGCGGTGCAACCTCCGCCACTCTGGAACTGGGTTTTGGAGTCATCGGGCTGAAGGCAGCAAATGATTCCCTGTCACCCAGAATAGGGGGGAAGAGTAACAGAATGCCTCCTTTGTCATGATCCAACTTGATAGCCTTTACTGGTAAATAACCACGAGGGCACAATATGTTCTCATGCTCGGACTGACTCGGCACTGGTCTTTCGAGCGTGACACTCGAACAGTCAAACGCCCTGTCTAGATCTCGCGCTGTGGCATCGTCTTCAGGTTATTTCTTTGGATGAGACAGAGCATGGCTAAGGCATGGGGTATCAAGGAAGACTATAGACTGAATGTCACACACCTAAATGCATGAACAATGAACAATGAGAACAAGGTTCGGTGCGCATGCATGGTGTCCAACTCTCTAAACCCCGACGAAACAGCTACTGACCCTCTCAAGCCCTTATCCAAAAGGGACCCTTAACAACACTCCTCAAGTGCACCACATATGGAATTGTAAAGATCCCTTGTACTTTGCCTTCAGGGCATGAGGATAATCATGTTCCAATCTTCTGGCTTCTACATCACGGGAAACCAGAAGCGATTCCTTTGGAGAGCCGCCCGCGAGGAGGCGTCGACGGTGCCGAAGCCATGGTGTGCTCTTCGGAATGCTCACAGGGCTGGGATCAGGGTTGAGGATTTCTGTCCCTCTGGTTCAGGGTTTGGGGTGCGAGGATTAGGATCTAGGGTTCAGGGTTGCGGGGTGTAGGGTCTAGAAGCCTCGACTGGCTTTGGGCTTTGAAGGTGTTGGGGTTTTAGTGTCTGGGTGAGAGTTTTGGGTTTTAGTGTCTGGGTGAGGGCTCGGCTGGTTTCAGGTGTAGCTTAAACGAAGGCGTCCGGGGTCGAGGGGGTGTACGTTTGGTCTGAGTAGTAGAAGTTCGGTCAACGGTGTAGAGTGGGTGTTCAGGGCTTGGGGTCGAGAGATATTTCACCCTTCTTCTACCGCTCGGGGTTCAGGGGTTATAAGTTTTAGAAGGCAGCTTATACAGGGGCTCGTATTTTGAATCATAGGCTGCTCAGGGCTCGCAGGGGGCTCATAGCAAATGAAGCCCTACCACCTAAAGCCACCGCATCTTCATAAAATGTACGCCTACCTAAGATCCAATTCTCTGAAGTAGACATACTCCTCGGGCATCAGAAGCTGCGCGGTCGCCGGGGCGGGCCCGAACATTCAGTTTAGGGTTTATATAGGGGTTTAGGGGCTTAGGGTCTCATGTTGAGGATTTATAGAGCTGCAGGTTTAGGATTCAGGTGCGCGATGTAGAGATCTGGCAGTTGACGACATCAATCAACTTACCTACAGTCCCTTCATGATGTCTATGCAGAATAGACTGTCCTGGATACCACGAAGTCAGTTTTAAAAGACTAAGGCCCTATGTTAAACTGTTACAGCCATACGTAGACACCTATGAAACATTCCGTTGCTCAGGGAATAGGGTGTTGGAAAACTTAGTCTCGGCGAAGTCCTTGAAATCTCACACAGAGACGTCCGTGGTTGGTAGGAATACGGGGCCATACATCTACAGACATCAAGAACAGTATATACATATGTGAACATGTATATATATATATATGTATAGACATACACACATAGGTTAATAACAAGGGTTCTGCGACTTGTAACTGGGGTTTCTGATGTTCGTCGGCCGCAAGTCTTACACGGCTTCGAGCTGGATCGGATGAAAGAATTTCTGAACAGATCTCGTGCGCCCCAGGTGTAAACCCTAGCTTCGGAAGGTCGTTTTGAAGCAAGGGCGAACGTCGGGGGCCTCCCTATCATGTCTAAAATGAACCCCCGACGTGAACTACAAGTACAACTTAAAGTGACACCAAGCTTGACCTTTTGTTGTGATATTCTCCAAACCCTGAAATGCCTCACGGTGAACCCCAAAATTCAGCATTCCCGGCGCTGTACTGTAAACAGCAAGCCCCGATTCCGTCACCAAACACCTTCGAAAACCCAAAGCCGTGAAATCACATCGCACAGCCTTTTTTTGATGCTGCTACGGGGCACTAAAATCTAAACCCTTTACCCGGCTACCCACGAATGTTTCATCCTGAACCAGCCAGCCCTGAACTCTTACGGCTGCGGTCTGACCGGGAAGCACCGAAGTCCGGAGAAGACACTCCACGTGTTTGAAAGCATGCTGTAGGGGCCTGAATTGGTTTTGACAGGCCTTCGGCGCAGATTTGTCCACACTTGTGTCCCTTTATGCAACTCCCAACTGTTCAGACCTCCTGCACCGGACGAACTATGCCAAAGCCAAGGCCATCTCTAAACTCCCAACACAAACTCTGCCATCCTAAACCCCAAACCCTGTGGTTCGGTATTACTCGGAGCTTTGCCGTCAGGTGTGAGCCCCACACGACCTACCAGGGTTCTTCTGGGCCCTGGATTATCTTTTTTTGTAATAGAGGGTATGGGGTAATCCCCAAGGTTTCAAGGATAAGGCCCCGGGGGCCACGCGCTTGCACGGTGTTGGTCGAGTTCTGCACGCTGCCCGTCTTCAGACCTTCCCGTGCGGGTTCAGCGTTTCCCCGCAACCCAGCCCACAGCCCAAATACATATGCATATGTGTATGCATGTATGCATGTATGCACGCATGCACACGCATGAATGTATGTATGGATGTATGTATGTATGTACGTGTGTATGTGCATACGGATATAGGTATGCATATGTAGTTGTATGTGTATATACATATACATATACATATACATATACATATATATATACATATATATATGTATAGAATATATATATATATATATATATATATATGTGTGTGTGTGTGTGTGTGTATGTATAGGTATATGTATATGAATCTGTATGTGTAGAAGTGTGAATATGTATATGTACCTGTACGAGTATATGTGTATATGTGTAGATATACTTATAGGTATATAGATGTGTATATATATATATATATATGATTTATTCGCGAAAGCTACGAAAAAATGTAACTGCTTGCATGGTTACCTATTCTCGCTCAAGAAGTATATAACAGGGGCATGGTGTGGGTGAGTGTGTGTATATATATATATATATCTATATATAGACTTTTCGATACTGCAAGATCTGTTGAGGGTGAAGTAAAGATGCCCTGATGGTTTCGGGATTGATCGAAGGGACTGGATGAATCGCTTGGGGCTTAGCAGCATGCTTCAAGACGTACCCTGAACACCAAAAGACTACAACAGTAAGTGAAGTCCAACGCACGCGGGTGCCCAAAGACTCACAGGGTTGGGTAGGGCTTAGGGCTTCAAAACTCTATCTTCATTTCCTTCGCAACCGCACTGGATCCGAGAAGGAGGTTTTGAATCCGAAAGAAACTCCCCAGCTGGGCTTTTCCGGCCCTTCTTCGAAGCTGACACAGAAGCACCCCAGACTACCGCAGGGGTCTCGATACTGTATTGGCATACGATTATGATCTATATTGGTAACTCTTCTTCAACCCCTGCGCTCGAGCCAGGGAACTCGTGAGGAACTTGTTGCCAGTTGCCGCAAGGCAGGGCGAGTCTACCTAGGCTGTCCGGCCATTCAGGGGCAAAGCACCTTAATATAGGGGCTGTAATAATTAGAATAGGGTCTGGGGGTATACTATACTATATAAATATAATGAGGAACCACCATATAGTATTGGTAATTATTTACGTTAAGCCCCTATATTAAACCCAAAGCCTAAGTCAATGTCCAAAGCCCCACTTCCGGCTTTAAGGTTACAGAGCTCATGCTCGAAGAGAGAAGGTTCAGGGTTTAGGGCCAAGCGGACGGACCAAATTCAGAGCCCACCATTCACTGACTCGCTTACCTTGGTTCGTAGGGAATGGAAGAATGGTAGCATTAAGTAATGAAAATTGTACCCCATTCCTCCATTCCCTACAAACCAAAGGTAAGCTCGAGGGACCTCCGGGCTCGGCGGTTGAGTTTAGACTCTGACCAAAACCCGTTTTAAAGGGGAAGGGCGAGGGGTGATATAGGGGCCTAATTAACTACCAATACGGTCAATACGCTTTTGGGGTCCTTATCATAATTCTAGTATCTTATACCCCAAAAGCCAGTTCAAAAGAGTGAAGAGCACAAATTGACACGAGACCTCCTAGTCCACAATCCGAAAGAAGCCCTTCCTAAGTCCTCGAGACAGGACACGAGCATCGCATTGCCCAGGGATCACACCATGTTGGCGCACTCCTCAAAAAAGGCCCCCGTGGTTTCGGCTTTTGGGCGTCAGGGTTTAGGCTTTCGGCGCTCACTCTCGGACAAACTGGGCGAGGTTTTTGGTGCGCACTCGCTTGAGGTGAGAACACTTCCAAGAGGTTCAATCTGCCTCACACGGTTTCTGCACTTAGTTAGTCGGCAAGGGCCGTTAGGGCTCTTAAAGCACGGGTCCTTTGAGCTTCTGGCTCCTCCAGGTTGGATCTTGATTTGCTAACCCCAGAAGCGCAGCCTAAATTTTGAAACCCTGAGACGCCAAGTGCAGACTTACGGCTGATGGACAAAATCCAGGCATGACTTACCAAGGTGCCCGAGTGCCTGCGGTCCAAACTGGCGCACGATGGAGGCAGCTTGGCCCGCCGTTGCGCTGATCTGGAGCCGAATGGGTGGATTCAGATTCAAAGCTTTCACCTCTTCAGCCTGACTTGCCTGAAGGCGAAACCATGCTTCCTTTACACAGATCTCGCGAAGTGCTGCGACCGCAAACTTTGAACCTAAACCGGAAACCCCCAAGATCCTAACTACCAGCCAGACCCTACTTGCAACCCCAACCCCAACCAGCTCGAAGTCAAACTCACTGATACCCGTACCCCCTAAACCCCAAACCGTTGATACCGGGGTCTGAACCAAAGCCGTGTGCAGCAGCTTCATCGTGGCGAGAGCCCAGGCTGCATTCGCCAGGTTTTGAGGCTCTGCCTCTGAGATCCTGGAAGGTTTCATGTAGTTGAAGAAGAAATCCCTAAGCCCTAAACGGTAGGCTTTGTGCTAGTTTGCCGATCGACGAAGCATGGGAATAAGGCGTTTTGGCACTCACAGCCGGCAAAAGCAGGCGAGGTAGCAGGGGAGAAAGGAACTAAGCATTCACGATCTTCAACTATGGAGGTCTACGGTCAAGTCCGGGGTTTCGAGATAGGGTGCGAGAGCTTGGGAGCTGGTGAGTCCCAGGGCTGCTACAAGGTGCAATTCTGAAAACAATGGACCATCTTCTCACGCCCCATACATCGAAATCGGCCATGCCGAATGAAAGACTTTTGGGAAGAGGCCTGGTTCTTTACAACAGCAGTGGCGTCAAATTGACCAGCTCTGCTTTGAAAGAAAGCAACAGCTAGCACGGCATGCACAAAGAAAGACACTTGAAGGTGCCGTGGAAGCATGAGGAGCGGTTTAAAGCACACTACACCGGTGGGAAACTGGGGTTGACGATGGCAGACGAGACCCGACCTTCGGGTAGTATGCCATATCATAACTAGTTCCCGAGGCCAACTATCCACTCCGTCGAATTGCTGTTGCGGCACGTGGCTAGCTGGATCCGCGTTCAGCCCTGAGCAAACCCTTAAAACTTCGCACCCTAAACTCGAACCAGTGCCTAAGCTCAGATCCTGGGCCGGAACCTTCAATTCATGGGACCGGCCTGGCCAAGCCCTGTGCCGCAACAGCATCGAACGCCGCAGCACGGAGCACTTGCACCTGAGAAGTCGAGGAATCGGCTTGGCCTACACGGCACCAAAAAGGTACACTTCTAGGGCCAAAACATGTATTATCATGTATTACATTGGTGCCCAGACCACGCACAGCAACCGTCGTTTAGTTATCATCACGAGCGGCAGTCGCAGCATTGGTAGCAGCAACAGAACCGGCAGCAGAAGTCCATCTGCAGTGGCATTAAGAAAGACTAAGATCTGGGTCGATTTCGGCAGCCATCTACATCAGCAGCGCAAACAGAAGGCCCACAGCTGGACGCCGAAAGCCGAAACCCAGTATTTCTTTCAACCCTGGTATAGGGCCTTAGTGATTTACAGTAGGGCTTTGGGGCCCATTCTATCTTAAGCCACAACCCCGAGAATCCAGAATGCCCCAAACCCTCAACCCCAAGGCGATGCCTTTCCGTGTCTTCAGGCAGCATTGGCCTGGGCTATACAAAACTCGCTGAGGTAGGGCCTCATGCAGTTGGGATAGATAGATATTATGTAGGATTACTCTGACGTTGGGCCTTATGGGATGTCGGAGTGTTCCAACTCGATGCTGTTCGGAGGCTATGTAAGCATGCGGCCCAGGTCATGCAATGCAGAAGCCCAAAATCGCAGGCAGCGGTTTCGGGCCTACGAAGCGAAGTAACCACCTGTCATTTGCAAGGTCATACCACGAAAACGGAATAACCAGCTGAAACTTATTCAATGCCTCAAACTTCCATCGTTCAATCCTGATGCTTGCAGAAAGCTTATCCCCAAACATCGGAATATCCCATTCACACATACCACGACCACTTGCGCAAGATGTTTGCCAAAAGCTTTATAAGCCCTAAACCCAAACCGCGTATAGGGAGCTTTTGCAGCCTTCCCACGACGCCAGAGGAAACAGCGATGAACAGTTCCCATGCCGTGTGAAACTTTTTAACCCTGAACCCAAACTTTGGCCCAAACTTATAGACCCTGCATAACCTATGCTTCCTGGGTCCTTGAGGGAAGCTGCTGGACCTGGGGTATACTGCGGTGTGCCTAAGGATTGGAATTTCGGGTTTGCAGCGCCTACCGCCAGGCCAGGACAGCTGTCTGGGTTCTTTTTGCAGCAGGCTTCTCTCGCCCGGAACAGCCCACCTGAGTTCTTAAACCCTGAGCCCCCTAAGCAAAACTCGTAAATCCTTAAGCCTGTGCCCCAAAGTGCCCAAATAAACCCAAAGCCGTGAGCCCTGTCAGAACTATATCGTCATCCTATTAGTTTACAACTCCTGTGAAAAAGGCATTGGCGTGATCTTCCTGAGGGTGCGAAGTCGTTTTGCGTTAGTGCTTCCAGCCATGCCTTGCAACTGTTCCTTCGGGCTTAGGGGGTTGAGGGTTTAGGGGGTCTAGGGTTTAGGATTTAGGATTTAGGGTTTGGGGTCTAGGGTTTAGGATTTAGGATTTAGGGTTTGGGGTCTAGGGTTTAGGATTTAGGGGAGGTGCAGGTAGCGAAGACGGTGCATTGGCTGGCAACGGTCTGTAATCTTGAAGCTCAGGGTTGGAAACCAATGGTTTTCAGGTGTAGGACTTCGATTAGTGACTCGGATTGCCCACACTTCTACCTAAACCATGGCACTGCTAGACTCTAGACATTTTCGAACAGCTTCGCCTCACCCTCTCCAACCTAAACCCTAAACCCAACTCGGTACGGCAGCTTTTGCTAAGCCATACCTACTGTCCTTTCGGTGCTTGGGGATGCCGGTCAGGACACGAATCCCAAAGTTCAGCAACAGCCCGAGATCCGCAAATGCTTGGCCAGTTCACCAGGTGATGCATAAGGCGAGAGCGAGCCGGCCTCGGCCGCGCACACAGTACCCCTTTCCTCGGACACGACAATCACCAGCAGTCCCAGTTTGTAGGAGATGCACTGAGCGGCGTAATGTCGGCTGCCTCGGCTTATGTCCCGAGCGACGTCTTCACACGCAAGCTCCTGGGACGCTGCACGAAAGGCCCGGCATGCGACCAGTCTCCCGTCACAGAGCACCACTGCCCCATCGTGCGTGGGCGCGCATGGGTCAAAGACCAGACACAGCGCTTCGTAGCAGCAGCGGATGTTCATGTCAACTCCGCGACCCAGATGTGCAGGAGCAGGCCCACACACGATCAAGGCGCCTACACGCAATGAGGCGAGATAAAAGCAAGCAGAAGCCACTTCTGCAGCAGCATCGGCTGAGCAAGCAGGGACAAAGTGCTTCATCTGTTCGATAAAATATTCGACGGCGTCGACGAAGGCAAGTTTCGGCATGAAGAAACACTCCTCCAATCCGAGGGTCAGAACCCAGAGCCGTGGCAAATCCAAGTAAATGTCCTCTGATGGCCCTGGCCCCGCGTCCTGGCTGCCATTCAACGCATCCCAATCCACACTGAGCGGGTGCAAGCCTGACGGCAGCGCAAAAGCAAAGATCCGATATGTCTTGTCCTGTATATCCTTAAGTCGTGGCCAAGCAAAGAAAACAGATTAGCGATTCGGTCTACAGATCGGGTTTAACCAGTGCAATGCGCCTCAAAGTTGTGCCTTTTCCACTGGCCACCAAGACTCAGTCCAGTCCATAACGTACCTAGGATGACCACGCAGCTTCGCCACGCCATCTGCGCAGAGATCCATCTTCATGTTTGCCTCACCAGCTCGAGAACGCACGAAGATGCATCGGCAGCCGCCACGCCGCTCTGGCGCCTCAGAACCTCCCAACGGGGGAAACCTGCTGTTGACAAAAGCTTGCTCCAGTGGCCCATAATACACAGATCGGAATCGGGCCACGGCCTCTTCGCTCAAATCCACGAGCCTGAGCGCAGATACCGGAAGCACATCATGCAGTATGGCCTGATCACCCAGCCATCCCAAGCGGTCCTCACATTGCGGATGTAAGGTTTTTAACACTTCGTACACGCTGCATTTCAGGGCCGCACCGCCTTCCCCGGAAGTCAGAACCGTGTCTGAATCGCAATCGTTGAACAAGGCCTCCTTGAACGTTAAAATTTGCTGGTCTTGCACACCCATTCCTGGCCCATTGTCATCCGAAAGGAAATCGAATATACTTCCGCTCGGATTGCACCCATTGCCGGATTTGCGAAGTAGCTTCTTGACAACAAGCACATTCTTGACAGCCTTGCTGTAGCAGCTAAGTGGATCGTGCTGGCCCTGGACAAACTGCATCAGGTCGGCCTCCCGGTCATGGGAATTGGCTGTTTCGGATCTCATAGTAGGGCTAGAAGGGCTCGGGGTGTCCGCGCTCTCACTCATGGACAGCGCTGTCATCCCTGCGATCAGAAATTTGAATAGAGCTTCAGCTGTCTCCATCTTCACGAGTTTCCCAGCAGAAGAAACGAAAACCGTGCGCCGGCTTTCAGACACCATCACGGCAACACAAGCAATCTCGCGGGCCACATTCAAAGCAGCAGCCCCGCGGGCTCCAAAGCCGCTTTGCTGATCTGTGTCCCCGCCAACGACCCCGAGCAGCTTGCATGCCACGATGCGATTGTGGCACACCACCACGGCACCATCATGTGTAGTGCTTGCAGGATCGAAAAGTTTCAGCAAACACTCTCGGCAGGGAGGCAGATCTACGGCCTGTCCCTCCGAAAAAGCACGCTGCCACGCTCCTGCTGCAAGCACTATGAGCGCACCCCAACCTTGAGAGCAAATCTTGAAAACTGCCACTGCAACTTCGAAGCAAGACATGGCCCAGCGCTCCTGCCCGCAGCCTGCAATGGCAGTGCTTATGGTGCCTACCAAATGGTGCGGCAGCATAATAACTGCATGCGCCATCCCATGTTTGCAATGGGACGCCATAACGAAAAGCTCTGAGCGACGAACATCATCAGGGATGTCGCCACTTGGAAGTGTGAGAAGAATGCATCTGCGGTGACAGAAGTGTGGGTCACCGCCCAAGTTGAAAGCCCAGGCATTTGCAGAAAGGTCTACCTTTGCGTCATAGCTGACCCTCACTCCATCCGGCAAGGCAATAGCCGGAAACATCGTGGCCGCGCAACTCGATGGCACAGAAAACTGCGATGAACTCTGTGACAGACAGATGGCCTCTTCCCCACTGCAAAAATTGAGGTCCCATGCGGTCAAACACTCTGTCGAGGGAGTTCTCACTGGATCGAAACAAATCGGGGACTCACATAGATGGCCGATGTGTCCTGCAGCGCAGCACTGGCACTGGACGCAAATCTGATCTCGAGCAAACGGGAGCCTGACTCCACAGCTGCAGTACTGTTCATCTCTTCCTCTCTCGGCTTCCAACCCTTCCATAGCCTCCAGCAGATTCTGCAATTCCTCTTTCAACCATTCTTCTGTGAGGCCCTCTTCTTCCGATGCTGATCTCCCGTTTCTCTTCATCTCCTCCAATACATGTGGTGCGATCTACGAGAGATTCTTGTCCTGGACGACTCGGCTGTCACAGGTCCTTGTCTGCAAAAGCTTGCTTAAGGGCAGCCTGCCGATTCGATGTCGTATTTTGCTATGGGTTTTGGATTTAGGGCCATGAAAGAGCCAAGCGGAGCCTTGCATGGTACTCTCCAGCTAAATCTGAGCTGCAGGTTTTGCAACAGATGTTTGTTCTTTCTCGAAGGAAAATGTCTGGACCGCATGGGGATTGAGTGATTCTGGCTGGGGGCAAGGGATACAAATGCGCCGGAGACAAGCGGAATCAAGAGGAGCACATCTTACAAAAGCCTCTACAATATATGGACTATAACTATGGCGACCGTAACCAAACTTGGAAAACTGTCAATATTTCTTCCGACGTCTGCAAGTACACAACTTGTGGTATGGCGTGGTATTTCCTCACCCGAATCAACCTGACCCGGGAATCCAGCCATGAGCCTATCTGTTTTCAGGCTTTTCTTGGAGCCTATACCGTCAGACTGACTTCAGAGCTCGCAGGTGAGGCCATATATCCTGATCATAGGCGTTCTCTGGTTTAAGGTCGTCTCGGCGGCTGCTGCTCCGAATCCTCGTTGCAGTTTGGCCTTACGATGCGCTACCTAATGTGGCACTGGAACGTGACTCACGCATCCAAGCCTCTCCATGAAGTGACATCGACATCGATGATGATTGATGAAGGTGGTGATGATGATCATGCTGAGGATGCCTCTGAACCCATGCTTTCGGGATTACCATGCTCATGATGATAACAGCGCTAAACCCCCAACTCTCTGACGCCTAATTCTACCCTATCAGTCTTAAACCCAAAACCCAGACTCTTGACACCTGGGGCCAGTGCCGGGTCCTGGCCCTGGAGCGAGTCCTGAGGTGGCTTGCGGGGGTGGGCGTGTCATGCTAGGGGTCAGCTTTGGAGTCTAGGATTTCGGTATTCGAATTCGTTAAGGATTTAGGGTTTATAGGTCGGATACTGCTTCGACTCAGTACCGATTGAATTGTATGATACAGATATGCAAGGGCCCTAAAAGGACACCTTTATAGACTGCTGCTGTATGGAAGCAGCACCCAATTTAGATCCATGTGATCATTCCAACTCGTTTGCAGCAGGTTTCTTGGCGAGGTGCCCGAAACCCCAACACTTTGATTGTGGTATGAAGTGGGGCACTTGAAAAAGCATGAAAATAAATCCAGGGAGTTAGGGCTCACCAGACCCGCACAGGAAAGTGCCTTTTCTTGGGCTCGCTGGTCCTTTCCCGGAGCAAACGCCACGAGAGCTGCTCAGTGCTCCTTCAAGGATGAAAAAGATCCTCCCCTGCGATCTATGTTGAGATCTTGTACAATGAGCTTTAAGACCTTCCAACACATTGCTGAAATCTTATGCTTCTGCGAGAAGAAAGACATATGGGAAAGAGCACTTAGCGAAGCCTGAGCCAGTGTCGCTTTGCCCTCGGGGCAGAAGCAGACGCTCAATTCAAAAGGCCTAGCAAGCGCCCAGCCGTTGACCGTTAACATGTAACCTGATGGTTCTACTAAATTGAAGTATCGTGTAGTATATTCTAGTATACTATAGTACAGTATAGTGATAGTATGGCATTGTGTTGTTCTGCATACCCAGTCGTCCACCTAAAACCAGGTCGGTCTGAGGCTCCAGGTGTATGAAGAATCACAAAGCTAAGCTTCTCTATGGTGCAGCGTCCTTACTATTCAGAATCGGCTTTTGAGCATGTCAGAGCATAACTAGAATGGGAGCATAAGGGGATGCAATTGCAATCCATTGCGATCCGTACCCTGATTTTGGATGGCTGGGATCATCACAAAGCCCATGAAATGCCCCTAAACCCCGTAATGTAGGGGCCTTAATAATTAGAATAGGGCTTGGAGGCATACTATACCATAAGTATACTAAGGAACCGGCAAGATAGTATCGGTAATTCTTCCGGCCCCTGTATGGGGGTTTCCGAAAATAGGGGGCCCTGATATAGTACCCTAAACAGTACGATCCTCAGTATAAGGACCCCCCAAAATATGGTACCCTTAATTGTCGGAAACCCCACACCCTTACCTATAGAGCCCTTTAAAGAAACTCTTATAGTACCCTTATAGCAATCCTTCAAAGGAACCCTAAGGTACTACCCGAATTCTCGGAAAACTCCACACTAGAACCCCGCCCTGCCATGCCATACTCTTTGGGCACTCGAAGCCTCGAAGCTCGTTTCGAGTCTTGGGCGCATTTTCTCACAAATCCCCAGGAGTCTCGCTTTCGAGGAAGCTAAGTCTTACCTTTGGTTACTTTAAGGGATCTATATAAGGGTACTATAATATAGGGGCCCTAACAATGCTGAGTCTTACCTTTGGTTAGTAGGGAATGGAGGAATCGGATACAATTATAACTACTATTACTACCATTCTTCCATTCCCTGGTAACTAAAGGTAAGAAGTAGGCTAAACTCTCGCAACTCGGGCAGGGCAGACGAGGTCCATGCGTTCGGGTCGGCAACTGATGATGCATTTACGCTAAGTAGGTTAGGGTTTAAGGTTTTGGGGTGAGGCTCTACCCTAAGGCCCCAAAGTAGTTCCTTGTTGGGGTTCATATATAGAATCCTATAAGGTAATCCCAAAAAGGAACTACTGTGGAGCCTATGGGTAGTCTTGATGCTTAGACTTATTCTGAAAGATACAGAGCGCGAAACAATCCCAAAAATGTTGGGAAATGACCCCGAAGCCAGACCCGGCAACCCTGTTTTCGCCCGATCCCTGGGTTGAGCCATGAATCCTAGGCAGCCTAGACTCAAGTGCAGTTGCGTTTATGGACCTACACGTTGTCCCTAACTACTGCAAAGGATCCCAGTCATGAAATGTGTTGACCAACAACAGAAATACGCATGAGAATCAGGTCAAACCGACTCAAACCCATAACCCGCACTTCCAACATTGGTAGACTTATCTAGAAGCTTATACATGGAACTTACGCATATGGAGTTATAAATGCCTGATACTTGGCTTACGCCAGTCACTACGTTTACTCCAAAACTCTCATTACTAAGTCCCCTTACCCTTCAAACCTAAGAAACCCTAAACCCTTACTAAACTCTGAAGCATGCCTCTAGACCGTACTGTAGACCCCGAACTAACAACCCTTAATCAAAACACTGGAGTGTAGCAACCCATTAGGGATCAACAGACTTCTTAAACCTTGAAGGCTGAGACATCCTGAGCTGTGAAGCCCCCTGCACGCAGTTGGTTCGTCGTAAAGCCTCCGGCGCGAAGCTGTTCCACCTAGTGAGCTGCGGAGTTGTTAAGGCTTCTCTGGGATCCTGCTAAGTTTCTTCTGCATAGATAGGGTGTTACAGCGTTGCTTCATAAAGCTGCAGAGAGTTTCAGAATACTGTTATGGCATTCATGGAGGTTCATGGGACAGGGTTTACACGGCGTTTTATCAGGGCTTCTTTAAGGTTTTTTTCAGGGTCGCTGCAAGGGTTGCGATAGAAGGCTCAAGGCTGTAGAGTTTTGGAGCGGACCTTTCGAACTCCTGAGTTGGATGCTTAGCCACGAGAGCTTGGGTCTAGTGAAACCTGGACGTAAGGCCCCCAGAGAGAACATGAAAGGTATCACAAGGAACAGCAATGCAAGATCACCGCAGCGAAAGAGTCATAGTAAATAAACTCTCTCTCTCTCTCTCTCTGCCGTTGCATCCAGAGGGTCTAGCAGCGCCAGGCAACGCATGAGGCTAAAGCCCTTCAGGCCCCTCACGAAAGCGATCAAGAGCAAGCCACCCTTCAAGCAGCAGGCTATGCCGACATATGCCAGTCACACACCTCATAATATACTCGCACCCCCAAGTCCACTAGTTATGGTGTCTTCATGAGCTGGAAACGCTTCACGTTCTTATATCGGGTCTTCTCCAACCACATTACCAGCAGCCTCACTCTCAGTCTCTCACTCTCCCACTTCGGACCTGCAAGCCTGCAGCTTCAACAAAGCACTTGCCGAGGGTTTAACAGGTTACTCAGAGGCCCCCTAGTAGTTCCTTGTTGGGATTACCTTATAGGATTCTATATATGAACCCCAAAAAGGAACTACTTTGGGGCCTCTGGGTAGTGTTCATGATCAAGCCCCAAGCATGGGTCCCGTGGCTTGCGTGGGGTTGAGGGTTCTAGCTCGCTGGAGGGACTATAATAGGGTTTAGGGCTAGGGCGCTAAGGGAATGACCAACTCTGGTTGAAAACCCATTTGATTGAATTTGGCGTGTGCAACGAATATTGCATGAAAACCTGCAAAACTGTATACCACAACGACGAGTAGCTGAACCCAAACCGCCCCACAACAAAATTCCAAATGCCACTCCAAACCTACATCCGGCTTGCTAGACACGACTTGCTACAAGACATGCCACCAAACTCCTCAGAACCCTACTAGCCGAAAATGCAAAGTGCTCTTATAAGTCCCATTAGCAAAAATGCACCCCAAAACCCTAAGAAGCCCAAGAAGCCTAACCTTCAGAACCCTGAAATGCAAAATCGGGCCTCATCTATAAACCCCGAAGCCTAAAACACAAAAGAATCCGGCAAAACCAGCCAAGTCCCAATCTAAGCCGTCAAACTTCTAAACTTTAAGAAATCGCCTTGAAGCCGTCATGGCGTAGCTGTTCCACAGTGAAGCCGCCAGCACGCAGCTGCTGGAAGGTGTAGCCAGCCTTCTTGACTTCCTGGCTTGGTAATGTATGAACCTGAATAAGAAACCTTGGTCCTACAACCCCCAATATATCAGGATTCATGCAAGGAAGCCTAATACTAATAAGGACCCAGGGTTTCTTGATCAAGTTCCTACATTATTCATTATTCACGGTTCAGGGTTTAGAAAGGCTTAGGACGCGGGCTTTACAGTCTGCGAGTCGCACTGCTCGGGAAGTTCGGAGTTTTCGCGCCCAGGTCAAGGCAAGAGCAACCTGAAGGACC